GCCACTTATCCTCCATGACAGACACAAAAAACCTCCCTGACTAGCCAGCAAAGGTATATTAGCAGCTAGTTTCTGATAGCCTCAACCACCTTCAGTCACAGATCAAGATGTTTGGGTGCGACTCAAATTTTTGCTCGAGACTAAAGTCCATAGAAAACTACATAGAATGTAAGGATGTTAAATAGTCCTGCCAAGAAAAACAATTAAGAACTGTGATTAACATGTTTAAGGCCAACTTAAATTTTTTTAAGTGAATTTAAGACATTTTAAGGCCTCAATTTTAGATGAGCGAATTATGCTTGGCTAGTATTTAGTGACCGTTTTCAAAAACCCAAATCTAGCACGCAGAAACTCACTGGGTAATTAGTTGTACCGTTTAAATTCAAAATGTTCTTTAACAAAAGCTAATTTTCAAAAGTTATGTTGCATAAATAAGTAGTAATATCGGTAGAGGGGCAAGGAACTAACTGGAAAACAGAAGTTGAAATGAAGATTTTTAGCTTCTGAAAAACAAATACTAAAATGAAAGTAAATCAAATTTTCTCAAGAGGTTTAACAACTGTGCATAATCTAATATTATATAATACTTCACTTAAAACGCTCTGGCTAGAAGAGCTTTTAAAAGTGATGCACCTTCAAGTTTAAGGTTTAGTTTGCAACAAAATCCAACCCTAAATAGACCGGATATGAATCTCTGTCTAGAGCTAAACAGCATGCTCTGATTCCAGGTCTTTTCCCATCTCCCTACAGAAGCTGCTGCTGCTTCTTTTCCATATTGTCCTCTCCTGTTGTGAGAAGCACTTCCTCCTTAGTAAACAAACACCTCTCTAATCCATCTAGGAATGTTCTCCTCACCACGGGACGTCCATCTCTTTGCAGACCCGGTAAGACCATTGCAGTCTTTGTCTTTCAGAGACTTCTTTGAGGCCACAACATTTGTGTCCTGATCCAGATCAGGACACAAACGCTTTCTAAGTTTGTCCCAGATACATCTGCAACGCACTTATCGGCCCTTTTATAGCTAGCCACACACATTTCTCATATTGTAGAGGAGATATGCTTCGCCCAGATAAACATTTTACACACTATGCACAACAGGGGTTAATTAGGAGCAACTATAAACAGGATACCACATGGTGAATCACACTGTTCAATTGTACACAAGCCAGAACAGGAGACATTGTGCAGGACTCATTGTGGTGGAATCATTTCTATGTCCATCTGCAAGTCCAAACATGTACGTCTTATTAGCCACTGACTGAGTGTGTCTGTTTGTCGAGCCTGAGTGCTTGTGCAGGCCGAGGCCTCTCAGTGGATTGAGGCACACGCGGCTAATTTATCTGACAGATATGAGCAACTCAGGGAACATCGCTGTCGTTCTTTCTGTGCCTCCCAAACAATGGGATACAAGTAAAACAGGGTTATGCTGCGACCATCTTACTCCTGACTAAAAATCAGAATGGAAATCATCAAGTTTATTTTAATTGATCATGTTATTAATTGGTTATTGCATGAGGCTAAACCTCTGTTTCCAATCATACTTTTTCCTTCCACTCCATTTTCTACGAATGGGCATCATCTGACATTTATACTTTAACAATGCCTTTTTAAAATTATTACAGAAAATTCTAATTTTCTGAGAATAAATTTTGGGTTTTCATTCTTTATTATTACCTTCTGAAATGAGTGACATAAACATTGGATTTCCACGATATTCTAACATTTTGACATGTACCTGCGCCCTAGCCTGAATATGACAGTACGGATCTTTATGAAAGACATAGATGTACGTCAGTGACTGGAATAGATCAGATCAGACGGAGAAATAAATGAGTGAAGGACTTCTTTCACACAAACATTGACTATCAGAGCGAGAGGAAAGCACCCATCAATGAAGAACACATTTATCCAGTTACGCCCCACGGTCATACCAAAGAGGCTTTTCATTTCCGCAACAGGAACTTTTCTTCTGTTCCGTCGCTTCTCTCTGCGCGCTCCGCAGGGACTCCTCCCTGAGTGAAAGCCCCCCTGAATTATTGACGAAGTGCTTTAAATAAGTCATCGGTGTGGGCCTGGGTTTTAACTCTTTGTCTGGCAGGAGGGCAGAGTTGGTAAAACGCCAGATGGAACTGGAGCAACACTCCATTAGCAAAAATAACAGTTTTGAAGTCATTAGCAGAGCCTGCTGTGAGGGCAGAGAAGGGAGGGGTCAGGTTGCGTGCATGCATGGCGGGAGCATCTATAAATGAGCAGCAGAGGATATTTAGATGGTGTTCATAGCCCTAAAATGACAGCGACATCTCACAAAAATATAGTAAAATGTTTTCTTTGAGCTATGATGACTTCACAATCACGCACTTCTTTGTGTTGGTTCATTAAAATCCCAAAACGATGCACTGAAGACAAAATGTGAAGATGTTCAGGGAGTATGAAGATTTTTGCTGGTATCCAAATGAGACTTAATGAACACAACACCTGCTATAAAGTGATTATATGTACACAGATCCAAATCTGCTTGGTGACGACACTTTAGCTGGTTTGGAGTCTGGACAGTCATGGCACCACACAGGGTGTTTCAAACCAACCCATATTCAGCTTTAAAATCCAAAACTGGTGAGCTTTGATACATTCCAGAGAAGCTTTCAACCATCGATCAAAGCTAGCATTCAAAGCATTTCAAAATATCACAGATCATCACCCCACTCTATATTCAAATCATGTCATTTCCCTCTTAACGATTTCTAGCAACCATAAAGTCAGACTCCCATGTTTGGTATTTAAAACACGAGGCTCCGTGATGCCCGTCAAATTTTGCACACACGGTTAACCGCTGCCACTCTTTCAGGTGCCACATCGGATTTTCCACACTCCAGTTTGCTTGCCTTTTCAGACCGACTTGACATATCCACTCACTGTCTGGCTTCATATGTCTGGATGCGCAGTGGCGATCGTTCATTGCCTTTCCCACACCAGGTGCGAAGCAGCGCAGTCTGCCTGAGGGATGTTGCAAGGAAAATACGTAACATCTGTTTAAACCTGCCTTGTCATTTTTTTCAGGATTGGATTAGGTTTAAGGGTGCTGTGTCAATTTGAGAAATACAAAAAAAGCCAATAGTAAGTAAAAAGCTCATTAATGGAGTGAATTTATCGTAAATATATCAACCCCCCATGATACCAGACACAGGGGGGTTTATAGCTGTAATTTTGGTCGACTACCAGCAATTTTCTGAAAATCTAGGTCAATAAGAGGATGTCAACTTTAATTATTTAGCATGAATTGCACAAAGAAGGAATTTGTTCTTGTCCTCGGGTGTGAAAACCCGACCTGTTGTTAATTAGAGCACAATCCAGCGAAAGTTGATCGGGGACTAATTTAGTGTAATAGGAGCGAGAGCAGGAGTTGGCTGCAGTTTCCCCGATTCCTCTGCAGTCTTTTGTCACGCAGTGAAAAAAAAGATCCCTTGAAAGAACAAAATGACGAGCAGAAAAGCATCCTGGGAATCGGGCGGCATAAACCAACAAAGATTTGCAACACGTTGAGGGTTCTTTGAAAAGATGCACCGACAAACTCCTAATCTCCAACTTCCTTGTTTTCACCAAGTATAAAATACATTATTTAATTTTTTTAATTCGTTTTAGTTCATCCCATAAAGTGTAATGCCAACAAACAAGTAGGTGCTACATTTTATTTTTTAAAGAACTACTTATATTTAGGCCTGGAACCAGCTATTATCAGTCATCATGTTTTCTATTGATTACTGTGATGAGTATCCATCCATCCATCCATCCATCCATCCATCTTCTTTACACCCTTGTCCCTTAGTGGGGTTGGGAGGGTTTACTGTGATGAGTACTCAAATAAAAATATTGACACATTCTGCAGAAGTTTCATTTAAACGTTTTAGGATTTTTTTTTTTTGTACAAGATAAGTGCAGAAAAATACAGATAAATGAATAATTCAGTTCCTTTAAATGATAAAAATGTTATTACCTTGATCATTTGTAGTGAAGATGCATCTAAAGCTAAAATAATACTTCTGACATGTGGAGAGTTCAGCCTTTTATACTTGACTTGGCATCAAAGCAGCCGAGGTCTCATCTGGCGATCACCTTTTGGATTAATGGAATAATAACTTGATATCAAAAAGTGCTTAATAGGAATTTTTTGGTTTTTTCCCCCCCCCTGCAGAATTTGAACCAGGTGAAGCTAAAGCAGCCTTACAAAGCTTTCTTATCTTAAATGTATAATATTATCTTATGGTTTTGGCTTAATTACTGCTCTTAGCATGTTGTTCTTTCAGCAAATACTCCGTTTCAGAAACTGTATACTGTTGTTAATGATTATTTGATTACTAAAGTAGATGACAATTATTACAATAATCACAAATGATAACCCTAATCATGGTTATTGCTTGCCATGATTAGGGCTTGATTAGGCTCTAGTACCCCTGGTGACCCCACAAGGCATGTAGGATAATGGATGGAATAAGCAAAAAAAGCTGATTAAAGACGTCATGAATTCTCCAAGAAAAACATTAATTTAGTGCTAATGAATAAGGTAAAAGAAAGGCAAAGTATTGTACATAAATGCTACAATAGAGAAGTAAATACAATCCCAGCTACTAAGTGTAAAAATAAAGAAAGTCTCCATTAATTTCCATTAAAACACTCGGTCATTTACAAATTATAAAATGGTTCACTAAGACTTTCCAGGCCAGAACCTCCACAGTGTTCCTTCCCAGCCACCAAAGCCTCAATCCCACAAACAAGTGCAAACAGGAAAACTAGAGAAAAAGATAAATGGAGTCTTTTTCAGGCAGCCTGTTGCCAGCTGCGCTCCAACAGAAGCCTTAGCGGCGCTCTGTGGCCACCTAGTGGCGGCATGTGGTCCATTCACCGACTGTGACGGAGCCAGAAGCTGCAGAGCGCCCACCTGAAAGGCTGCGAGGGCGGGCCTCTGCCAGGTCAGAGATTCCTCCGGTAGTGACGGTCTTCTTCATCCGGGAGCCTGCGGCTGCGGCGCCAAGGGCCGGCTTCGTCAAGGCATCGTCACTGCTGGCCCTTTTCAGCTACAAACACACACGTCAGGTTAGTGCCAACATTATACTCTTCTACTCCTTAAATAAACCCAAATGCTTGTCAAAGTCTCCTAATTTGTACATATAAGTGTAATCAATCTCAGTGTAAATCCAGCTGTTCTGTGAAGGCCTCAGACGTTTGATAGACATTAGTGAAGGAACATCATAATAGGGCTGAAGCGATTAATTGGATTAATCTTGATGAATCGGTTGTTGAAATAATTATCAATTAATTTAGTAATCAATTAATCATTCACTGGAGTATACAGAAATTAAAAATTCAAAGCAGTAATTAAGCCAAAAATTGTTCAAAAATGTATGTATACATTTTGTATTTAAAATAATAATAATAAAAAACTTTCTGTACCCAGAACTCATCAAGTAGCAAAGTTAGGGCTACTTGATTCAAATTCTGTTCATAAAAAACCTTTTGCATCCAATTATCAGGATGCTTATCAGATTAAATTATATCTGGTTGCTGTGACTCACCTTGCTGAGCCTCTGGTCTGAGGCCAGCGTGTTGGAAGACCTGGAGTTCCTCAAGGCTGCAGAGGTGGAGGTAGAGGAGGTCAAAGATCCCTGCCTTACCCGCTCCTGGAGTCCCGGCTTGGGCAGCCCTCCCTTGGTGGCGCCCGATTTAAGCATGGCTGCCTGTTTGGAGACAGAAAAGCTACATTTAGCATTTTTATATTTTATTTTTACCTTGGCGCTAAGTAACTTTTGTCCTAATCGATTCTATCTGGAGCTTGTTTAATGATTATCATAACAACAACAAAAAAACAGACTTAGAAACAGACCTTTAACTTTAATCTTTTTTTTTCTTTAAATAATGTTATGCAATTATCCACAATGCCAATAGAAGCACAGAAGAATAGGGACAACAAACCTATAAGGCAGCAACACCGTCTGGTGGCATTTTCTTGCCGTTCCAAAATACACAAACGAAAAGCCGCTGTAATAAGTAACACCACTGAACCGCTTCCTGACAGAGGAAGGTAAAGGAACAGCCTCTCTTATCTAATTTGCTCAAACCTGGAGGGACTTACCAAGACTTGACACAACATGCACATAAGTAGCAAGTAGGAACGCAGATGGCCAAGGCCACAACGGTTATCTTTCTGAGAAATATATGTTTTCAAAAACCCACACAATGAGGGGTTTGTGTTTCCATCGCCAACAGGATGTGGTCAGCATGACTGCGTTTTATGTTTCAAGGAAAAGCCTTCATCTGGGGAAAACAGGAGGGCACTTAAACATGAGCGTGCCTCCTGTGTTGTTCCCTGTGGCCAGGCTGACTTATTGATTAGGGTTTAGCAACCTGATCTCCCGAGGCAACCGGATAATTCATGATGGACCCGTTACATGACACACACATGGGTTTATAAGTCAACCGTATACTTATGAAGCGTTATAGCAAAGCCTTGCTTCTGCCTTACTTACTTACTTCTGATTCTCTGCACCAAAAATTATATTTTGAGTGAATATCTGGAGACGAAACGCTGAACAAAACTAGAAGATAAAACATGTCTGAACCGTTCTAGAGAGTTCTGCAGAATCATTATAATGTAAAAATAAAGGATGTCTAAAAATACCTGAAGTACTGAATGTCTAAACAACCGTCAGGTCCGAGTGTGAGCATGCAAGGTTGTTTGTCCCGTCGTTGCCCAGGGTGTGCAACGCCTTTCGCCCAATGACCGCTGGAGAATAAACGGTCGTAGAAACGAATGGATGGATGGATGTTAACGGGGGCGGGCATATGTGGAAAACCTCATATGTTAAGGATTCATTATGTCAAATAAAAAGCTAAACTGAAAGCATCATTGGAAATGTTATCGTTCCCATGTTTGCATTTCGCGAGATCATGAATAAATATCAGTAGCTTTGAAAATACGATTAAATGTAGTTACTGTGTGCCGTTTAGTGAAATAAATCACACCTGTTTAAGTAAGAGGCGTCCTGAAGAAGCCTGTTTCAAATGGAAATGTTTTACATACCTTAAAAATTTATTTATTTTTTTAAATAATTGTATCATTATCATAACAGTACCACAAAATAGCACAATAAATTCGAAGTCAACATCGGCCAACAGTCGACTCCAAGTTTCTGTTCTCGTAATATTTCGTCTGATCTTCTAATCACTAAATTAATCTTTACTGCTTTATTAGTAGCTTTGTGTTATTCATACTTATTTAATATATTTCTTGATTTCAGCAGGGTAATCGGTATTAATATCACTGGGTACAAATCTAAACACAGCTGAAGAGGAAATATTGTAATAAAAAATGTCTTTTTAGGGACTCTAGTATTCTTCAGCAAGGACACACAGGATCGTGTTCATTTTTTAAATAATGTGTTATGAGAAGATGGAGGATGTAGTTTGAGGTCACAGAGCTATGATGACAAGTTTAATATTTTACCTCTCATCTAGAAATACTGCTGGTATTTATAAGCATGACATACAAATCATAAGATAACGAAGCTACAAACACTTTGTGAAATAATCTGTAGATTTTTCGTGTTGGTGTTTACAGAAAAGATTAGAGGAGCTTCAGGACTTGCAGATTGTGTTCAGTGTTTTGTGTGAGAGCATGTGTTTCTCTTCTGGTCCATCAGATGATCCTCAGGACTTCTCGGGGCAATATCCTGTGACTAACTCCTGCCCGAGTGGGCCGTCCAACAATGCCTCAGCAGTGACGTCTCACCTCGTCTCAGGTCATTTTACGCGGCTGTTACTGCCAGGCACGAGTCTGACCTGCTCTCATCACAACGCGGACAAACAGAAAAGGTGTAATTTGAGATGTTCCCGTTTAGGATACTCTATATTTTTCACATAAAAAAAAAAAACAAAAAACAGAACGATCAAAGATAACCTGGCAGCTTTGAGAGTAAAAAAAAAAAAAAAAACTTTTTGGCTTCACCTCTTTCGGCCACTGTGGAGCCACGTTCTGCAAAACTGACCTCGCCATATTGCACTGCGGAGGTCTGATTCTCAGGAGCCAGAACGGTGTCCCACTTACTTCCCAACGACCTACTAGCTGTGAAACCTCAATCTCTACGACAAACAGACACGGAGGCTCCGTTCTCGTCTCTTGAACAACGTAAAAGTTTAGATGAGAAACTGCGATCGCTATTTAGCTGACAATAGAAATCTAGAAAGAGTGACTGGACTACATTTTTTTACAATCTGATAAAAAAAAATTCAGAGGCAGAAAAAAGGCATGGCTTTGAACATGACTTGTGAAATCCTAAACATGGACCCTGCTCTAAAAAAAATCCAAACTTCACATAAAAGCAAGCATAATTTGTGGTTCTGAAATAAGTCATAGGTAGTCATCTGCCTTAATTACTGCTAAAAATAGCACGTTAAATGGTAGGCTGAATACGGGACAAAGTGCTGGAGCAGTTTTATGGACTACACTACAGAGAGGAGAGAAAAGAAAAAAGGGAAGTTATTTATACACATTTTGTATATTTATTTGCAGAAATAAATGACGGCTGCCAGCGGAACCAATTTCAGATGGATAAAAAGTTGGTGTTTTCCACAAAACCATTTGGTTTTCCATCTGACTCGATAACCCATTAAAAAAAAAAACAATAATTTCAACAAATGTTTCTAAAGTAATATATTAATCTCACACATATCCTTTCTCAGCTTCACTGAACGGCAGCCCAGTCTGTCAGAAACTCGATCATTTTCAACCAGTTCAGTAAGTTAGTGGTAACAACACTCTTCACTGCAGATGTTGTTGCTGAAGGAGGAGCACTCAAAATTAAGGAGTTTACAATTAGAGGAAATAAGTGAAAAGCTAATAAAAAAGGAAAGCATTTTCTACATTACCTTGAAACATGTCTGCAGTTTAAATGAGTGAGAGAGAAAAACACTCAGCAGATAACAGGAAGGCCGAACAAAGTACAGGAAAGTTGCTCTGTTTTTCCCTATAAATCAGCTACCATGCTAATGTACTTTTTGTGTGCACATCATTTACACTGGCTAACATGGCTCATCATAACCTATGATCAGAGGCAGAAACAGCTTTAAGTTTTAAGTTGAGACACTACAGCAGTGCAACCAAGTTCTCCTACCACTTCAAACACTCATTGCATGTCAGCATGGTTAGAATAAGCAGCATAGAGGAATGCATGCACCCAAACTAGGAGCTCTACATGTAAAACAGCATACATCCTGTCAGTTTGTTTGCATGAAACTACAGATATAATGTTGATCAAAGAGGAAATAGCAGTCCTGCAAAGCTGTGGTTGCAAAATTAGCTGCTTTCCTGTTGTGGTTTTTAATCAGGTATTTAAAGATAGTTTGATATTTTCTTGAACATCTCGAGAGGCTATCAAGTACAATGTTGCTACATTCGGATCATGACAGTAGTAAGCTTACTAAAAGAAAAAAAGAACATTGGAAATTAATATTATTGTAGCAAAGTGTAAATGGCATTACCTGTTGTAAGTCACTGTTCCTAAAAGTTGTGCAAAGTTCTGACCCAGCGCTTATTTCACTTTTGGTGAAGCGGCAGAGACGAGCTGCCAGAAATGTCAGAAATCAGGCTGAAAACATCTACTGCCGATGTTTTCCCAGACTTTTCTTACTCATTATATAAAGTTCAAACATTACCCCCCACCAACCCTGGACTTTTGAAAACCAAACTCAAACCAATTTTTGATCTAAAAAAAATAAAAGGATATCAAAACAACAAAAACATACAGCATGTGATTTCTCGAGCAGACCACTCACTTGTTAAGTAGCAGATGCTGGTCCTGGAGCCTGAGTGCTCTGCTCCACAACTGAGGATAAATATCTGCTGCTTGGCCCTTTGGAGCAAGTCAGGGGTGAAAATGAAAGGACACGAGAAGCGGCAGACAGCCTCCACACAGCAGCCAGAAAGAGGAAGAAGTGCCTCGCTCTCTTTCTGCTTCATACAAAGGAGAAGCGTGTCACATAGCTGCTGCCATGGGCATGTTTCTGTTCTCACCTCTCAGTTTTACACTTGTGATTAACAAGGGTTAAAAAAAAACAACACTACAAAAACAAATGTTGTTTCTAGTGCAAACAACTTGGTAGACTTGACATAAGACAAAGCATTTCAGCATGATATAGGAGCTTGTTTTAAGTTAATCATTTCTTAATATTGATTTAAAAAAGTACTAATTGCAAGTAAATAATCTGCCATTTTTCCCACATTACAAGTTAAAACGTATTGCTGCACTGGAAGATTATTTCACTCATAACTAGTATGTTTTCATCAATATTAATGACTTAAAACAAGATCCTATATTGTGCTGAAAAGTTACTTGTAAGTTTGTTTTGTTGCATTTCAAGTGTATAAAAGATATTTGCACTTGAATCTAGAGACCAAAAATATTTGCAAAGACTTTGGGTTTTTCTTTTTGCAGTGAAGGAAGAAAGAACCAGAGGGAGGAAGGGATCGCCATCATGTGACACAAACAACTGGGCAGGGTGAGAGGTGAACAAGAGCGATGAATTTTATTCTGAAAAGATTCAGCCATTATCTAATTAAAATGCAATGCAGCCTGTGATGGAAGATCACAATATTTTTTTTTAAATGACAACTTTTACAAACAAATCCTGCAACTCCAATCTATTTATATCAATATTGTATTTTTTTTGTTACCACACCAGGTTGTGTGGGCAGAAACAGCAGCGACTGGCACTGACAAAGCCCATCTGTGTCTCAGAAAGCCTCAGTAATATGAGGGTGGATCATTTGTGGACTGGCTGACAGTCAGAATTTATGTTCTTCTGTAATGGTCTCATTTTGATCCCACAACATGCAGCTTGCCAAGGATGTAGAGCATGTGGGTCGAAAGTGAACCGCATTCGGGTCTGGGATTAAACAGGCTTCAGTTTGTGGCCGGTGGTTAACAGAGGAACTCAATCTGACCGCACCCCTTCGTAAGCAAGAGGCTGCCTTTTAAAGTGTTGCAGCTAGACTTGAGAAAGACTGCAGATTGCTTTTAAGGCATTGCAAACTCCCACGTCCTGTTGCAGAGACAGATTTTTTTTTTCAGCGTGGTTTAATCTCAGTATAAATGTAGAAGTTCTGCTTCAGAGGTTAAGGGGATTTTCACACCTCATAGTCTGGTAGACTCAGTTTGATCTGGGACCAAAATTCAAACATTTGTTACATTTTTAGCTGGTGTGGTTCTCTTTCACACTGCACGGTGTCAAACCCTTTGAGAAACCTGTTCCCCTCCTAACCTACGGTGGCGCTGCAACAAGAATGACATGAGGAAATGACAGGAAAACATCTAAAGAAGACAACTTCCTTCACAAAAACAAAAATAGACTTTTAGCAGTTGTAGGATTTCTCTTTTGTATTTGATATAAGACTGCAGGCCATTTCTCCCTCCAATGTTAGACTCAGATTACATTTGTTTTGTTTGTATTTACCCAGAATACCCTGCGCTATAGTTCGCCAGTCTCCTGTCCAACTGGCGTTCACATTCAACTGAGCTAGGTTTTTATTCAAACCAGAGTTCGCTTTTTTCCCCAGAGATCAATTGCACCTTCACACCTCCCCAAACGAGCCAGATGTTCTAGGCAAACAAACAAGAGTTCAATCATAGTGAACCAAACAGGGCTGGTGAGAATGCATCCGCAGAGAGCAAACAGCATCATGGTGAAAAGTTTAAAGCAGAGTTAGGTTGCAAAACATTATCCCAAGCTGAGGTTTTGTCTCAGAGCACAAGTCATCGTTCAAACATGGAAAAAGTATTGCACAACTGGAATCCACCAACATATGGTCATTCACTTAAACCAATAGGCCGGGCAGGAAGAGAATTAATCTAGAGAAACAGCCAAGAGATCCATAGTAACTTTGGAGGAGCTGCAGAGTTTTACAGATCAGTAGAATTTGCAGACAGGACAATCATTAGTCACCCAAATATCTAGCCTTGGGAAAGAAAAGACAGAAAGAAGAGACCCTCCAAATGTTTACTTCTAGAAAAACGTATACCGTCCGGATAATTTCCCTTCCCTTTTATGCATTTTTGTGTTGATCTTGCAAATAAAATCCTAACACAACTAACTGAAGTTTGTGGTTGTAACATGACAAAATGTAAAAAACTCGAGGGCTATGAATGCTTTTGAAAGGATCTGTATTTACATCGAGTCTGTGGAGATAATGCCACGTAAACTGCAGCCCACACATATTTTGTCAATGCAGTGCTTCATTCGTGCTACTGTGGTTTCACTCAGTGTCTGTGTAGCGACACTAAATTCCTTCAATGGGGACGGACAGCGTTGGCTGTTTTCCACAATGTTAGGAGCCATGTTGATGCATAACACTCTTAAACAGCAATAACTGATTAAAAACGTGATCTTTTGTAGATAGCTTGTTGGAAATACTAACTTTGTTCATTTTTATCCCGAGTTTGGCAACACTTAATGGTTTTTAACTGTCTGTTTCTGCAGTCTACAAGTTTGACAGAATGGTACGATAATCAGAAAAGGCCAAACTGAACCACATCGAGCCAAATATAGCACATAAAAATATTAATAATAACACAGGAAACAAACTGAAACGCTAGCTATTTTATTATTCTAATGCAACAGATCTGAATGCTCTCCCCTCTTCTCTGGTTACTCTAGCTTCCTTCCACAGTCCAAAAACAAGATGGCTGATTGGTCTACCTTGTTGACCTAAGGTGTGATTGATCAACACACTTGATGTATATTAGTTTGATTACTTTGGTGATGGCATTTGACATAATGTAACATTTATTGCTTGTTTCACAACTGGTTACTGTATTGTATTTTTATGATGGTTCAAAGTATCAATGTGCTGGATTATAAATATGAATAATTTCAGTTTTAACCTGTTCAAAGTAAGGTTAGATCAAGTTTCTGCTCAAAGTGAAATTACACAATATTTGGTGTGGCCAAAATGAAGAAACATCTTACATAAGACAATAGAAAACAAATACCAATAAGTACAAGCACAAATATCTTTCATCCATAACAATGGGCGCCTTGTACATTTAAGAAACTCATGGACTTGACATAATACAGCCAGTTATCCAAACCTGCTGCAAAACTCAAAACTTGGCCAAATGAAGAACAACATAAAAGCAACATTGCGATGGAGAAACATGAATAAATAATGACAGAACATGGAGCGGCACGGCAGGACACCGAATAGGTGAAGTATCTCCACCATTGTATGAAACAAGATGACAACATCCAGCAGGCTGAGTGAGGCTCCTACGGTGGGCGCCGACTGCCTCACACGTCTTCCTTCTGCCTCCTTATGTGCACAGAAAGGAATAGTGAGTCAGATTCTCCAAGCACGCACAATGTTTTTGACGGATATAAAAGCAAACATGCAGTGATGGTGATTCAGTCGAGTGTGTGTCTAAAAATAAATCCGTTTCCATGATTATTGTGCACAGGATGGAAGCAACAGCCAGAAAGTAGCACAAGATGAAGCCTACATGGTCAGAGTAACTCCTTTGTCTGCAAAATGAAATGTCTGTCCACCGGTCACCGTTCAGTCTCCATAGTAAGTAAGTGTTTTTCTGGTAGTTTTCGCAGGCAACCCACCAGTTTGTTCCCTGAAAGTCACACAGTCCAGCTGGCTTTAGATGTATTGCTATGGAGACGGTTCTAAACTTAAGCATGGCATTTTCGTACTTGCACGAGTTGTTTAACAAATAGCAGCTCCTTAGCCTCTGCCACAAAACACACGGCCTTCGGTGCGTCCTTTCACCAGTTTGGTCAGCCACGCCTCCTCTAGGCAGACCCACTCAACAACCAGCTGTACGGCATCCCACATGCATCTTTGAATATCATCCTCATCACCATGGGAAAATCTCTATACAACACATGGAGCAACACCAGATGCCTTAAATGTCAAGTCTAGGAAAAGATAGTACTAAAGACAAAGACGGTTCTATTTGTTTAGTGATTTGATGTTTTTCAAGAAATTGGCAATGCTACATATACCAGTTCAAATTCCTTCAACACAAATGTATAGTCTTATATTACTGTAGAAAAATGTCATGAATTAAAACTAAATTGATGTCCAATTTAATGAGATTGTAATGCTCAAATATAAAAATATCAACTGCCTGGGTGTAGTAGGATTCCTGAAAAATAAGCATTTTTTTTTATATCAAAGCGCAGAAAGCACTTGTAAACTTTTTGTGCTGCTTGAGTTAGTGACCTTAAAGACATCACATGATCAGAGCAGCAGTTAGCCAAATGGCCACCTGTACTGGAGCAGTAAGACCAGTCACAGCTCAAGATTATTTAAACAATGTAAATGAAATTTTGTGTAGTAAGTGCAAAAATTACATGAATGCTGGGGTTTATCACTCGGACAAGTCAGGTCAGATTATCATTGGCCTGTCTGGTGCAGCTCTTCCCAGGTAAACAAACTACTCATTTGTTTATTGTGCATGGACGTATGGCAGACACGTCCCATCTGCCTTCCCACCTTGTTTGACTTCTGAGACTCACAACACATTTATCCAGCAACATTCCCCATCTATTGCTAAAAAGCAATGTAGATGAAAGTCTTTCAAATTTTGGTCCTGAAAGTCTGAGTGTCCAGTTTCCAGAGAAATACCTCTGAGGTTGAGGAGATGTTCAATTCCTCCACCCAATCAAACATTAACCAATTACTTACTTCATGGAACAACAACAAAAAAACTGTCATAACCACTCAAGTTATTTCAACCATCGACGATACAAATGTAAATCTGCTACAAAAGACAGAAATTCTTTAATGTCTGTAAATATCAGCATTTTGAATGAATTAATGAGGAAAGAAAGAGTCTTTGCTCCAACCTGCTAATCACAATCTTTGAATTGTCCACTCCTCCAGTCTACTGTGTACCAACAGGTAGGGTGTAGAAACTTCTCTTCTTAGTCTGTGTATTTGTGAAACTATTACATAATCTGGATTTAAAAAATACTGTTGCCAAGCCTAAACAGTTTCAGGACACGCTATAAAGTCTAAAACAAAGAGAAAGATGCAATATGGTAAAGAAAATGCTAAAGCTAGGAAAGAACAAGAAAGCAGGTACTTTTATTTGAAAATCCAAAACACAGACAGCATGTAAAATCTAACGTCTGTTTTTGCAGCTCGAGTCTAAATCCAAGATTCCAGCCCATCTCCTTGAATCGGTTCACAGCCACAAGTTTTTCAAAGACTTTTGGCACCAGCTATTTTCCACAACTTTCCCATTTCCTCTTCCACCCGCTGATGCTTGTTGAACTCCTCAGCTTGACGTTCGTTCTTGACGTTGCTGTTGTTGGCAAAACTACCTCCATCACAACTGGTTACGGCCTTCCTTTTCCTGCCACAAAAACAGCTCTGACTCCTTCGTTTCCTTCAAAAAGTGTTGGTTCACTGATTGTTTGATTCTGTACGTTAATATCTAGTTAACCCACTACCGACTTGAGTAACAGTGATCAATTTGTTTAAACAATTAATCACTTGATTGGGAAGATATTGGTCCATTTGGTAAACTTTTTGGTCTATCTGCACATGCTAACTTGTTAGCACTGCTGGTGAAGATGTATTCATATTTTACTGCAGCAGTAATCAAACACTGTAAAAACCCAGTTTATTTTCAGTACATTTATTCAAAGATTAATTGCATTTGTTATATCTATACGATGGGCTGCACAGTGGCGCAGTTTGTAGAGCTATTGCCTTGCAGCAAGAAGGTTCTGGGTTCGACTCTGCATGGAGTTTGCATGTTCTCCCTGTGCATGCTTGGGTTTTCTCCAGGTACTCCGGTTTCCTCCCACAGTCCAAAAACATGACTGTCAGGTTAATTGGTTTCTCTAAAAAATTGTCCCTTGGTTTGAGTGTGTGTGTCCAGGGTGTACCCCGCCTCTCGCCCGGAACGTTAGCTGGAGATGGGCACCTCTCGCGACCCCAATAAGGGACAAGGGTGTAAAGAAAATGGATGGATATCTATACGTAAAACATTAGTTGGTTCTTTATCATTTTATCCAAAGTCATTAAGCTCCATTTGTTGCCTCAGATTACAGACACCTGGTATAAGAGAAGGGCCGTTTTGGGACTGATAAATAATTTCTGTGTTGATTTGGATCATCATTTATAAAAACACTATAAACTTGCAATATAAGATAGTCATTTTACAGATCTTTTTTAAGGAGCTTCCACAAATGTATTCATGTCTAAATGTGTGCAAATACTAGCACTACTACGCCACCTTTAAGTTACTACTGTACCGTTGCTGAAGCACATGTGTAGCATCTGTCCAACACCTGAATGTAGTAAAGGAGTGTGTGAAAAAAACATCATCTCAGCTAAAGCCCAACAGGAAGCGTGGGATCGCTTTATATCCCATGCTGTGAGGCGGTCTCTGTTCCCTCTGTGTTCCTATATTAGTCAGTGGGGATGTGAAACTTGCATGCAACAGGATACATATTGTGGTATTAGCGGAGTTGCGGCAGTTTCAAACTAGAAATTACAGAAAATGTTTCATTTTCTGAAGGCAGAAGAATTTATTAGAAATGGGAAACATGCTAACACCTGTGTTGTTAGTGTTTCTGAAAGTATTTTTTGAGTCTAAAGCAAAACGGTAGCATTTCAAATACCATTTTTGATTTTTTTGTGCTCAATGAGGCATTTTTGAGTCGTTTCAAATAAAGTTATGAGTAACACTGAAGTAATTTCTCAAATAAAAAACAAGTTCTTGGTGTAGGAATATGAAACTGTGAAACCACAAGAGCATCTGCTTATATCAGCATCTTTGAGTTAAAAAAAAAAAAAGAGAGAAGGAACCTACTGAGGAAAATGCTGAGTTGATGGTTTGCTTTGATCTGGACAGAGATCAATAGGTTTTCTAGTTCGCCTTCAGGCCTGGGAAGTGTAGATTCACAAATCTTCTGAATAACAAGGTCTCACCTCGGGACTCGGGTTTATGGTTATTTTATTTATCAAGGAACACTGCATACCTGCATGCCAACAGGTTAACATTGTGCCAACAATCACTTTTCTCTGTGGAAGTTGCCACTGCAGAACAAAGACAGTTGTGTTCACTATCAGAGAGTAGTGTTTAAAAATGAATTAAACCTTTTCAGCAGACGGGTGTTGGCTGTTTATTCACGTTGAAAAAACAGCGAAGGAGTAATCAGCAAACAACAGGAAGCTTAGAATATTAAAGTAAATATGATCCCTTATAAAAGGGATCTGTTTGATCCCTTTGTAAGAGTCTGATTCCAGCTGTTCTCGAATCTGTAACAGATTAGCATCAATTATTGTAAGAGTCCTAATTTCTCTACAGAGAATATGAACAGAAACCACTGTGCGATAAAGCTAAAAGCAATTATACGCAAATACAAGACTTTTGAGACAATTTAAGATGTTCTGTCTGTATTCATTTCATCTTAAAATAACAGTATTTTTTTTTTTTGTTTAACTGCAGCACAATACGACACTGTCCTCTGCTCCCAACAATGATTTTCCTTCAAATACTGAAAAGGTGGAGATTTCTTTTTCTTATTTTTGAAATCATTTTATTAAAAGAAACGAAAGTCTTCTCATAAGATGCATATTGTACATTTGGACAGAAATAGAAATTAGTGAAGGAGCATATATTGCTCCAATTCTTCTTAGTTTAGTTTTGGAGGATTTTAATAATGTATTTCAAATTTTTTTAGTAATGTTGAGAGACAGTTCTGTAAATTTGGACTTTTCTTGAGAAATAATTATTTTATTTGAGTATTTTATATAGAAGCCAGCTCTGTTTACAATTATCAAAAATACAGAGAAGTTTCTTTTTTTTTTCTTTAGCAAACGTTTACAGCAAGAAGTCAGAGCTATTCATAAACTGGTGATTAGAAATTTATGCATCAACAGTCTGAGTCCTTCATTATTTCCCCAAGCAATCTTCTATATTTGGGGACCTCGCTAATAAAATGTGAAGACAGATTCAACTTTTATGAATATTTTAAGCCTCCCGTTTTCCGTTTCATCTTTCTCAGAGCTGCGGCTCCCCTGAGGTTTGAACTTCCTGCTCTCCCAGTGTCAAAGTTCTTGACTGATAAACAGCCAGTCGGAGCCACGTTGCAGAAACTTCAGCTGCTTTCCAGTCTGCCAAGCTGGCTGAGTGTACAGAGTGGGCGGACTCCATAGAAACACAAGCACAGCATCCACAAGGTCTGCGAGGGAATTAAAAAAAAACAAAACATGCAGCCACTAAAACCGAGATATTTTCCACAAAGGAACATCATAATCGTCAGCACCAACAACAACCCTTTCTGTCCAACCCAACAGAAATGAACACTCCTGTTTGTATTTTGAGTCTGTATGCTGTACCCAGTATTGTGGCATGAAAGGCATTTGATGTTCACTGCGGGTGTGTTCGGTTTGACTTGTATGGAGAATAAAGGAGATTATAATGGGTCAGACAACTAACAGACAAAGCAAATATTTTAACGACCTGATAAGTCACACACCCAAGCTTGCTAGTCCTGTTTGCATTTTAATTCACCCGCCTCTTGGAGCTGCATGCCTTTTACACTTTTACCAAGACAAAAACATTAGCATTCCTTAAAGCCAGTGAGTTGAGCCACTGAGAGCGATGCTTGTCAAGTATGTAGATTGTTTCCTGAGCTTCAAACACAGCCTGAGGAAATGAAGATGCTTGGAGCTTCCCTTCACAGAACAAACAAACAGAAAGAAACGCTCTGTACCACTGCGAGGCACAATGTGTATCTACTTACTGAGGTGGGATATTTTTAGGCAGAAATGTTCTTGAAAATCTTGCAGAGGCTGAGAGCCATCTGTTGTTTCACAAGGCAAGAGTATTTCATTTTATACCTCCAAGCCCACATTTAGCCAAAAATGTTGATATTTCTTATTTATTTATTAAATTAATTGAATAAGCAATGAGCAGAGAGACAGACTGGTTACTGAAGGCAGCAGGTTTATAGCTCGACAATGATCAATTCATCAAAAACGTGTTTTTTTTTTCTTATGTACTACACGCTACCAAGTAAAACTGACAAGAACACTCATTAGTGTAGACACTGTTACAAAGTGAAGACAAAGTTAACCATTTTTAGTATAATGGTGTCATAAGACCAGAGATGCACGATGTATCGGCAATAATATCAGATATAGGATTCAACAAACATGCAACATGATGTCAACTCTGGTCTCCAAATAACTTCCAGCTGATAGGAGGAAGGCTTGAGGAAAACAAGGGCAACCACCCTAAAAGGCAACATTTAAATAATCTATGCTACGTTGCTTTTTTGAATTCCAGTTAAATTATTCTCAAATAATGTTGAATACCTCAGTCCACTTTAAAAATTTCTTACAGAGAGCTATGAAAGCTATTCTCTTCCCGCAGTGAAGTGGATTAACACACAGGAAAGGGAGCTGAACACTGCTTTGAGACAAACAAGGATATCCGACACACTGACCTCAGAGGACACAGCTATTAATAATAAAGCCCCACTATCTGTCCAACGGGTTTGCTGTTTGACTTTCTGGCAACTGAAAACCAACTAGATGGTTCAGAAAATAAGCAATGATGACTCACACTTTGTAAGTCAATTCTCTCTAGATGAATAAATAGATATTAGGAGTCTTTTTTTTTTTATTTAAATGTAGAACAACTTGAAAACCTTCATGGTGGTAACACCTTGCACTTGTCTTTACCAACCTAATGACACATTTATTTTGATTCAAAGTGTATAAAGTCAGAGGAACGCAGCCAGAGAGAGCAACATATTGTTTGAGTGGGTTTATACATACAGTCCATCTCAAACAGAGTTCTGAGATAAGCATGGACTACCGTTATCTCAAGCTGCTCAACTGAAATACATATCTGACTTGAACACAAATGAATGCTCTGCACTTGTGACAGTCCACACTGATGACAGCAACATTTAAATGTTTTTTTTTGTTTTGCAAAAAAAAAAAAAAACCCTCTCTCAGGGGAAAATCTAACAGCAGTGCTGATGCTGTCAGAAAATGCAGGCAGCCCTGCTGGCATCCCATCTCTTTACCTCCTCAGCCCATCTTGTATTGTCAAAAGTATTACCACAAGGAGAACAAATTCAAACATGCTGATAAGATTTTCCAGAGTCTGATAGAAGCCCGTTATGAACTGATCCAGGATTAAGGCTCATCAGCGTTCTGACTGCATAAATTAGAGACTGCTGGACACGTTTTACGCCGTTATACAAAAAAAAGCTATTAAAACCTATAAATTAAGGTGCTGATTTGTGATGCATCCTCTAGCAAAATGGTAATAAGTGTAATAAAAATGTAACGTATATGATCATTATGTTTCAGCAGCTGCAAAGTCAGTTTTCTGAAAACATTATTCTGTTGAGTCCAGTCCTTCTTCTCTGGCCTGGTTGATGTATTTGTGAACTACTGCTAACTAAAAACAGGTTGCATGAGTTGTTTGTGGTAACAAAGGTCTGTAGGAAGTACTTTATGATTATTATACTGTCTTACTGTGAGCATCACCAGTTGATAAGGAAGGCCCATCTCACATGAGAAAAAATAAAAACAAACCCTGAGCAAAATGCCTTCCTAAAGCAGTCATGTGTCTTGAATCTTTATACATGCTGTCAGGTTAAAACCACAAACTTCTATGTTTTTTTTCTTGAAATATAAAGTGATGGATCAACACAAAGTAATACAGAGATGGGTTTCTACATTCTGGACAATCTGCAAACGGTGGCAAGCATTTATATTCCTGAGTTAATCATTCGTAGAACCACCGGTCCCTGCAGCTACTGTGTTTTGGATAATGTCTCGCAACTTTGCACATTTAGAGACTGAAGTTTTTGATGTTGCGGAGAACATCTGTGAACAAGTCTTGCAAAGAGTCTGTTGCAAGACGTTTTATGTCTTGCATTAGATTCTGAGTTGGATTTATGCTCAGGACCCGGGCCATTCTAGCACGTGGATGATGTGCACTGCTACTCTTTCCACTTCTCATGTCATTCAACATGCAGGCCACATAGTTCAGTTTTGGTCAGAACCTCGTTCAACATGTTGGCAGTGTAACCCACATGATTTGCGACAAACCGGTAACAATGGCTTTCATCCTACCGCTGTCATAAAAGAAGGAGCTGAAGAGTGTGTGACCAAAAGTTGTCATGACAACAGATTCAGTTTCTGCAGCTCATCCAGAGTTAGCATCGGCTTCCTGGTTGCTGTGCTACATCATGTCTTCTTTCTGGGACTATCCATAACTCAGGATATTGTCTTTCACATATGAAATGCATTGTAGTTTCTGTTTGTTGAATAATAAAATGTGAATGGGTCCAAGGGATAGGAATACTTTTGCTGAGCAATGCAACTGCAATCATGTTCAGAAGACAAAAGCAATAAAATAGCATCCTTGAATAGCATTCTTGTGTTACCTATATCCATAAGGGACAAAAACATAAAATATTGGAGAACAGAAGTGGATCTGAAAGTACAAAAACCAAGGGATACTATAATATCTGTAAAGCGAATGTAAGGTTCATCTAATCAGTCATAAACCTCATAAAAACCAGGGTTGGTTCATCTAGGATAATTTTCTTTCACTTCAGTATCGGGGCAGCTGAATGTTTGCCAACACGAGACAGAGATTAATGTCCCAAGTGTTAAATTAAGTCAGTAATCCATCACTACTAGTGTGTGTTTTTCCACAGAAGTAATTTGGCATCTCTGAATAGAGAAGAACATCACTGCAGCATCTTCTATTTCACCAGATGGACACGGTCACTGCAAATGTAGTTACCCGTCCCGAGCCAATTCGCTCAGAACCAACAGTGGAAGGAAAACAGTTCGTTTTCTCCTTGCCGTCCCTCTGCAGCGCCTTCAACGCGAGCCGTTTCCAGGACACCGGCGCTGGTGGGAGATATTTCTCAGAGTCGGCCCCAACACTGAGACGGGGACCTTGAATTCCCCTCTCAGCATCTCACATTCACACAGGCTCGAATTCCTCCCACTAAGCAGAGCAGTCAAGGAGATCACGAGATAACATTTTCTGGGTAATAAAAGGACAGTTTCGCCACTATACAGCTGGATGTGTACGTTCCCCACACAACCCCTGGCTATAAATAGCACAGCAATTACAGGAACCGCTTGGATAATGACTTGAACAGAAGATGAGAGGAGTCGTTGAGAAACTCTCAGCTCCTTGCTGTTGGACATTCATAACTACCTCCATCAATAACAAAGAAAATGCTATGGATTACCAGATTGTAGATGCTGCAGTTCTTAGTCTGATATCTTTACTTTTGAATGTTAGTTGCTGGACAGATCCAGTCCAAATCAAATTGAGGAAACGGCTCCATTAACAAATGAGCAATTACAAAATCGGATGTTTTGATTTTGCTCAGACTGCCATATGACTTGCACTTCCTGCGGCTTTTTAGAAGAACAGCCTGTCCTGAAAACAGCCTGGATCCTGCAGACAGTGTCCCAAATTAACCATGAGTAAAAAAAAAAAAAAAGAAAAGAGTCTTTAAGGTGGCGGTATTATGCGTTTCCCAGACACGTAGTGCCATTTTAGCAACTGAAGGTAACTAGATCACCTACAGCTGTTATATATATGCTGTATATATGTATATAATTATATTTTCCTTTAGATTTCGTAATTTAACACCTTGAAATTGGGCCTCTGTCTTTTTAAAAACTCATGGTCTTTCAAACACTCCACCTTCAGGAAGTCATCACAACATCCTGATGATATTGTTCTTCTATTAACCCTTTAACAACGTTTTTACCTGCGCTGCTCTGAGACGTAGCTCGTATAATGAGCTCAGCAGATGCGCAGTTCGACCAGGTGTTTGCTAATCGCTGCTGGCTAGTTTGAAGGATCTGAGTGGGTGTTTAGTGGGGGAGGGCTCCTCTGTAAGGCGGAAGCTCTGAAGCTTGGAAATCGTAGCTCTGAGGAAGAAGCTGCACCCCAAAGGTGGAGCTAGGTCCAACCAGGCGTTTGCACAGCTGAATGGTTGTCGTGGGAGATTGAAGGATTTCTCAAACATGCATATAAGGATCAAGGCAACACCCCAGGCATGTTTTTGATGAGGGAGTAAGATAAAATCATGATATAACCATCAGAAAATACATACCATCCCTTTAATGTCATACTATGAAGAAAATATGTAGTGGAAGCCTCCTAAAGAAAAAGTCCTTATATTAGAATTCTCTCATCTTTTCTGCCAAAAGCAACAGAAAACAGGGAGTGTTGTAATCCATTGTCCACTTCTCTCCTACTAATGCCAAGCACCCTCCACACTGAGATGGATGTGGAGTTCTTCGAAAACATGAATTCTCAAATTCAAACTGTCTTTGTTCCCCACTTGTAGATACAAATATCCTTCATAGTTATAAAAAAAAATATTTATTATTGAAGAATCTTCATTATGAATAAAATAATGATCCATCTGTTTACGTGGCAGGAGCAGAGTCACACGCAACATAGTCAGGACAGACCTTCTAGACGGGCCAATTAAAGACAGAAACTGCAACCTTTCAGAAAACTGCTGCACTAAATGCAACAATGGCTCGTTTAACTACAAAGGTAATGATCTAATGAGAAACAAATGGTTCGCTGATCACACCAGGAAGAACAGCTTGATGCTCCCAAAGGTGGTCCGGACACAACTTGGCACTAAAACCAACAATTTACACAAAACTTAAGCTGCTAAGCTGGTTCTGTTTTCCTTTCTTTTCGACATTTATTCAATGTCTCAACATTTTTAAAAAGCACCAGGAGAAAAAACTAATGGATTTAATATCTTTTGGAACATTTAAATTCTCAAGGCAAATCTATTTAAATATTTTTAACAGCAGGTTCCAGCAGCACCTCGGTCTAAGGTTTTGAAATCTGCTGAGACGAGATTTCCAAATCAACGTAAAAGAGTTTAAACTTAAAGCTACGCCCTCTGTTGTAAGTTTGACTATTTAAATAGCAACTGGAAAAATATGTATTCACAGTGCTGGACATGTTTATTTATGGAAGTGGTAAACTGCCAGAGCAAGGAAATAAATTCTGGAGTTGTATCTTGTTATAACGAGATACAAAAGTCAATAAAAACATGAGGATTTCTCTTTTTAGAGAGACATAAAAATACTTTCCATTGGCAGATTATGACTTCTTAAAAAGGCATAAAGAATCTCTCCGTCTTTCTCACTCTTGTTTCTTCCAGATGACAAACATCCTGTGAAGACTTGCAGTTTTATTATGTCTTTCTCGATGAAACAAGAACATATTTTGGTTTTAATAAAATATTAATCTCATTTTAACAAGTTTTGTATCTCATCATAACAAGATTCAGCTGCTGCAACATATCTGTCAAAACACCTCCTCCTAAATATCAAATATGCTCACTTTGCCACTTCTTTTAAGTCCAAATTAATGTTTCACCTTTTAAATCTAGGCCTTTTCCTAACATTTTTGATATGATCAGTATTGAAGGTTGGTTGATTTTATTTTTGCGATTTATAATAGTTTTAGATATGATGGTACAGCACTGTTTAAACTGTATTTAAACATGGCATTATAAATAAAAAGGTATTTATTTACTTGCATGTTTCAAATATTGAGCATTCAAAAATGGTTTGGCATGACAAAAATGATGAACATGTGGAGAAGCATCACATAGCCTCTGATAAGGATGGTGGAGAATCATCCAGCATACTTTGGGCCTGGATCTTTTCTCTCAGAACTGTAGTGCTTGGATTTCTTGAAATACTGGGGCATTATAAATAGATGTCTGGTGACCCTCCAGTAAACTGAAAATAGGTTATTGGATCGTTCAGAAGAATATTGATCTAAAACATATAGCCAAGTCAACAAAGAAATTAATACAAAAGACTGAGTTCGAAAACACAAATAGGAATATTTGCCTAAAAAAGCAATACGAAACCAGTCTCTGATAGACTAAGAAACATTAGTCTATCAGAGAATTAGGTTTCTGTCTCTAGACAATAATTAAAGAAACTAAGCAGATGTTTGATCGAGCAGATGGGATGTATTGATCGAGCTGGAACCCTGTTGAGCACACAAACCCCGCCGGTGCAGCGAAATTCACTAAATTATCTGAAGCATCCTGTAGACTTCCAACATCCTGCAGGCGAGATTCCCCTCACCTGTTCAAGAATACAGCCAGTTCCAGGTCCAATTACCCTGGAAACAACATGTCCTTGGACTCTATCATCCTATATAAAGCAGGAGAAAACACGTCAGCTATAAAATGACCGTGAAAACCCAAATTACTCCCGCTAACACTGTAAACAACCGTCGACAGTCACTTCTGCGTCGGTGTTGCCCCGGCCAAGCCAACACCGGTCCCGTGCAACTTAGACTCCTTCTTAAATGTCCGACACAAGACAGCAGTAACGTTAAAATATTTGGATTTTACCTGAGTGAACTGGAGAAAAATTAAGGAAAGCTGTAAGGTGAAAAAAAGATAGAAACATGTACTCCGTTTCTTCTCCTCACCTGTTCGCTAATGCGGCGAAGCTGCTGCTGCTGCTGCTGCTTTCTGTGATGCTGCTACCGCCGCCGCCTCGCTCACGCGAGTCATTAAAGTGACACCCGCTGACTGAGCCGGTGGGTGGAGCGCGTGCTGGATGATTTGGCGCAGTGCTCGAATAGGTTTCTGGGAAACGTAGTCGTTAATGCTTCAAAAATGAGAAATGGACAGGACAAAAATAACAAGTAAAACGGCATTTTATATAAGTTTATATAACTTATTGTATACCTTTTATCAAAGGAAATAACCCTGGGCATCAATGACTCTGAAATTCAGTATTATCTCTGTATTATATGGTCAAACTTTGAGTTTATTTGGCTTTCTTTGATGCCCTGGAGTGAGAAGAACAATGGCATGTTGTTTGCCAAAGCGAAGTTTTATTTATTTATTTATTTTAAATTTCTAATAAAAAGTCATTATTAACCTAACCTATTAACCTATTTTACTGTTGCTCACATATTCAATATTAATTCATTTCCTCAACTGTTAGTACATCAGTGAGCAATAGCCCTTTTACTCTTTGATCACTTTTGTACCAGGCATTACATTTCTTCCCCAAATCTCCCAAATTTTTCATGGTAAACCTAATTATATATGCTCAGGAATATAATCCAATGCTACTTCAGAGGTTCAGACAGAGGAGGGCCAATAATCTTTTATTCCATTTTGAAAGTGTTGATTTTTATTTTGATGGATATGAGTTTCTTGAGATGTAATCTATATAAAAAACACGTTAAAATACCACAACAACTCCTAACTTGTGGTCAGGAATTATTTGAAGATAAATGGTGAGCAATATTCTATGCGTGTGGCGAGGGAGCATGATTTAAATAAATACATGTTGGAGTTTGACAAATTTTCACCTTTCCCCTATATAATTCATGCAAAGAAAATGATTACGCACACAAAATTGGTCAAGAAGGAAGAATAAGCACTCTTTGGGGCCACTGCTTAGGGCAGTATGCAAGAGGGCAAAACCTCTAAAGGAAGCCAACTTAGGCCATGTGACTCAGATAAATACAAGGATGGTTTTGGGTCAAGAACAAAAGTTGAGATGACGTCAACTTTTGTTCACTAAGATTGATCAACAAAGGGAAATAAAAAGCTGAAATACAGTCGCTTTAAATGTTTGGTAAAGTAAATAAATCAATAAACAGTCGCTTTTTTTCAGTGACTGTTTATTGATTTATTTGCTTTATTTGAAAAAGCAAATAAATTAATGGAATTTGATAAAACACCATGTGTTAACCAGCAGGGGGTCCGAGTGGTGTTTCAATTCAGTTCAATTCAAAAATACTTTATTTACAACTTATTGCTGCATAAGTCTGTTGTCAACGGTGAATATCACGCCGCTGTCATTGTCTCTGATATCATGCCGCTATCAAAAATGATCTGCTATGTGTTTTAAAGACAATCTCCTCCCACACCGCTTCGTCTGCCCCTTATGCATGATGATTCTTCGGCTGACTGTGAATGAGCACACACACTTGGCTGTTATGTCGAATGTGCGGATGGGAGTTTAAGAGACAGTGGCGACTTTAAAAATATACACACTAAGAGAGACATGATGTTTCAAGTTGTGTTTTCTTCACTTGATCATAGATATTTTTTTTTCTACAAGAAAACAAACATTTTACCCACCAAAACTTAACTTGCGCTTAGAAAATAATTCGGCGAATCTGCACCCTATCAGCTCACAGCTAAACTTACATAGAGCAGTGTCATTGAGAAACATGGCCGCGTCCACGGGGGCTGCAGATGCTGCTGCCTCAGACTCTACAGGTCCAGCTTCCTCGGTTCCGACCATGGGCAGTCCAACGATCCAGTATAGTATGGTTCTGGAGCACCTGGTAGGGGAGAAGCGGCCCATTAAAGATCTGAGCCCCGGAGTTATGGGGGGTCTGCCGGTGCCTCCGAAAAGCGACGAACAGAAGATGATAGAGAGGGGAATGGAGAGCTGCGCCTTCAAGTCGGTCCTGGCCTGTGTAGGAGGTAAACAACCGCACACCTGGGGATAATTAGGTTATGAGTGAATACAAAATGGTTTATGGTTGTCACTTTTCTTTCAAATGTTAGAAAATCAATGTGGCATAGATCCGAGGGAACATAAAATCCAGAGCAGCCAACTTTTAGAAGTCACTTACTATTTTATTTTTAATAAAGTCCATCATTTGTGTGTCATTTAATCTAAGAAAAACGTAGTTGTTGGTGAAAACCTCTGATGTTCTTTGGGGAACATTAGTAAACAAAACCGCATCATGAAGACGAATACAGGTCAGGGGTCAAGTTGAGAAGTTTAACTACCAGTAGTTCATTTTTGTCCTCTGTAGAGGACATTTCTAAACTTGAATATCTCCCACCCCCTGCATTCTACTGAATTAATTCCTTTTGGTATCTAGAGAGGACATTTAGGGCCTTTCAATGATACAATGAAGGGGTGGGACTTTTTGAAGGGGAAGGCCTTTTTCTAATTCATAAAAATGGCGTTCATCAGTAATAACATTTTATGGGAAGAGACAAAGTAAGTGCATAAGTATTCTACTTACCTTACAAAGACTGTGGGATTTAAAAAAATGGTGATTGGACAATATTTAATTTTCCTGGTAATCAGGAGGATATAGGAATAACAGATCACATAAACCTACCAAGTTGTTTGAACCATTTATGAAGATAAGCTTCATAAATGAAGCAGCTATAGCTGCTTCGCAGAGAAGAACCAAGCCAAAAAAAACACATGCATCTTGTTCCTTTTACGGTTTTTCATTACTTTGGTTTGGCCTGTCCGGTAAAATTCCAATGCAAAACAGCAAAGCTTTTGGTTGTAACGTGACAAAATGGGAGGCAGATTTAAAGATGATTCTGAAAACGCTGATGAGAGTGTGTTCTTCGCTTCTAGTGACTCCTTATTTGTATCTGATAATGGAGCGTTTATCTTTCCACAGGGTTTGTCCTCGGAGGAGCTTTTGGTGTATTCACAGCTGGTATCGACACCAATGTCGGCTTCGACCCCAAAGACCCCCTGAGGACGCCGACGGCTCGAGAAGTCCTGAAAGACATGGGCCAGAGGGGCATGTCGTACGCCAAGAACTTTGCTATTGTGGGCGCCATGTTTTCCTGCACCGAGTGCATCATTGAATCAGTGAGTGGCATCATTTCCGGTTTTGTCCGACGTGACACTGAATGTGACATTTTGTATCGTCATTTTGATTGTGTCTTATTTTTAAAAATTATTATTGTTGTAAAGAATTTATAATACATTTTCCAAGATATTTAAATATCGATCTTGCCGTTTTAACCTCTGAGGAAAGGTGTTAGAGCGCCCTCTGCTGATTAAATCTGAATATTACTCAAAAGGGCTTTTAAATCAGGAACTTGATCACAAAGTGAAACACATTATATTTATTGATCTGTCTGTTTATTTCATTCATTTACACTTTAAAATAAACATATCACATGTTACAAAAGTTTTGAACGATAAGTAGTTGGAAGAAAAAAATATCTTTATAGTCTACCCCTTCTCTGAAAAGTTAATTCAATATACCATTAGCATCTAAGCATCAATTAACCATTCATATAAATACATCTTTAACTGTAAAACAAACAATGTATATAAGAAAGATATATTATCTTTGTAATGATGCAGCACTCTACTGACACAGATGTATGTTTGAAAGCCTTTATTTCTGTTAATTATGATTTTCCACTTGCAGGTGACGAAAAGATGAGATTTAAAATTAGAATATTACACCAGACCAATAAAAAAATTATGTAGAAATTTAGAAATGTGAAATTAATAAAAAGTATGTTTAATACCTGCTTAAAAGTTATTTTCAAGACATACTTTTAACCCGACGAACGGGCCTCATCTAAACTTGTATTCTAATTTATCGAATACGACTTTGGAGGGGAAACCGCAGTCTTTGTCCTCCATTTGTTGTGTCTCTGTCCCCTTGAAGGTAAATCCATCAGTGTTTTTGCATCCATTTGCTTTGCAGCACAGAGGAAAGTCTGACTGGAAGAATGCGGTGTACAGTGGCTGTGTGACCGGAGGAGCCATAGGCTTCCGCGGTAGGTAACCTCCTCCTTTTCCACTGGCTTCACCCTAAAACTGGGCTCCACTTCATGTCGTTTCTCCATTTCTCCTTTTCTTCTGTCCGTCGCGCAGCTGGTCTCAAAGCCGGAGTCCTCGGATGTGGAGGATTTGCTGCATTCTCCGCTGCCATCGAATATTACTTGCGATGAGACGAGAGGCTTTTACGGACGAGAACTTGTTTTCTATGTGGACTTGCTGCGAGGAAGCCGGGGCACAGAGAGGAACGTCGACGAACGTTTGCTTCAGGGACTCTGCTGGGACCTGAACAGCGCTTGGGGATGTTCCTGCGTCTCCAGTCACAGAATCTCATGAACAAAGAAACTTCCGCACCCGGGTCCTGATACCGAGGCCCGGAAACCCGCTATTTGGTTACAGACTCGTTATATAAATAGACAGGATGTAATCAAGTAGGATTATTTATATTAAAGTTTGTTTTTTTTAAGCGGTTCGTTCACTCAGTAATTTTAACAATAAGAGGTATTCTAGTTTCAATTTTTCTGACTTCAGGACTTTTCTGAAACATGCAATGCCTCTTTCTTTGTCGATCTGTGTGTACAGTATGATGGCACTACTAGTTATCATTGTGCTCCCGATTATGAATTAAAGGAGATAAGAGGATGAATGCTCTTTGTCCTCATTCTTCCAAAAATAAACATAGTAAAGATATTTAACGGGCTTTTATCCTCAGACCCCTTTAGTGATGCCCTTAAATAAAATCCATCACTAACTACAAAGTAGATCACGTCTCTGAAACCTGCAGTTCCCCTCCAAACCAGTTGGTGGCAGCAGTGATGTATGCTTAGCATGTATTTAGAAATATAGGCGTGTATTTATTGCTTCAACCAAACATTTTCTTTCTTTAGTGAATTAAATGTAAAATACAGATGTGATTAACTTTTAAATCATGTCCAGTCTATTGGATTCACTGGTGAACTCCAGCTGCAGGAGGATCTCATGGTTAGTGTTGTTCGAGTGTTAGGGTTAGAATCCTTAAGAAGATCTGTTCTTAAGGATTCTGCAACAATAATGTGGGAAAAGTGACGGAGGTGTAAATACTTTCTGGTGGCTCTATAAGATTAGTTAAAGAAATTAACATATGGACCTATGAAATTAATGTTTGTCAAAGTCTGTGTGAGCTGGTGGCATTTGGAAGAGTCATTGGCAGCAATGACGGATATTGGCCACTAGAGGGTGCAACATGCGCAGATTTAGTCTCCAAACAAGCTGAAACCGTCGAGCATTTCTGAAGCGTTTTCCAAATCAGTGTGGCTGCTGGAAACAACAAGTCTGATACATGATGTTATTTAATGCTGTTAAAATATTTATTGCCATCTTCACATTTAAACACCATTTTCTAAGCAGCTATCATTACCAATATGGGAAGACAGCGTTATGAAAAAGTCGTTACTGATTTCTTTTGTATTTTTGTCACTCCTCAACGTTTAAATATATCCTAATATCAGTCGAAGACTACTTTTTTTTCAGTTTTCAAATCACTACTTAATTTATTAATGGAGGAATACATAATCCTGGCCTCACGAGAAAAAAGTTATTGACCCCTAAAGCTAGTAACCGGTCGTTCCGTCATTGGCAGCAACGACAGCAATGTAGCATTTGGGAGGTTTTGGTTTATCTTAGGTTTTATGTTGGATACTATTTCTGACACATCTGCATTTATCCAGACTTGGTACCGGCACTAGGAATCACCGGGTTCTGACTCCTTATGGCCGCATTCGACCGCTTGTGACTGCACTGACCTCTCTTTAGTGATTTCTTCTTTCTGGCAGTGATCAGGACCTGGATGTGGCTAGCTAGTCTGTGTTTAATCTCAATTATTTAATGTTTTAATCAAAGACCAGGTATGTTTCGATCTCTTTTTCGTCTTTTAATTAAAATCATCCTTTAAAAACCGCTTTTTTTATATTTACTTTGATAATCTTTAATATTAACAGTGTATTAATCTGCAGAGTTAAGGGTGACAAAAAAACCCAGAAAATCTACATTAATAATTTTCACAAACAGACACAAAGTGAGTGCTTCAATATTTTTTTTTAATTTTACTTAAAAAGAGGGAAAAAGTTCACATGGACATTTAGTCGCAATATTACAGCATATTGAAATTCTTCTCAAAGGAAGTAAAATACAACAGTTTTTGTTTCTTTTTATTCTTATATTAAAAATATCAAATATTACTAATTTAGCAGTGCTTGCATTTTCTTAAGATATGTAGGCTTGATAGCAGAAAGGTTGGCTTTGTATCGATTTCTTTGTTCTCCTTCCCAGAGACGACCTACCTTTGTGTTACCCGGCTGGATTTCACCGACAAGCTGAACATGCAATGAGGGCGTCTACGCAAAATCGTCCTACAGATAACACTGGTGCAGCAACACACACTTGGAACAGGCTTGAAATGCAAGAAGAAGCAGAGGAAGAAAATAAAAGCCAACTGTTCCGTTTGTGGTGTTATTCCCCCCCCTTCCCCGCCCGCCGTCAACCCTCGTGTGCCCTCGCTCGTCTACAAAGTGATCAGAACTGAACTGGCAGATTTATCTTCTCAGAACGGCTCACCGACCACGCGGTGATACAAAAAAAAAAAAAAAAAAAAAAAAAAAAAAATGTCTAAAAAACCAAAACAAAAAGAAACATCACTACCTGGATAAACTTCAAAAAGACAGACTCCTTAAAGAGCGTCTCTAGTTGCACAAAACTGTACAGGCACAAATATTATATATATATTTTCAAAATAAATAGGGCTAATTTTGGCCAAGACTCAGCGGAGAGGAGCGTCCTCTGTCCCTACGGAGACAATCCTTGCCGTTTCTTGGAATGGCTTTCCAGCCGCCTCGGAAGTTTGCTTAGTCCCTTTAACACAAATTCACGCTCTCAGTGGAAGACATCCACAGTCCTACTCTCTCTCTCTCTCTTTCTCTCTCTCACACACACACACGCACACACGAAGCCAGGAAAAACCAGAAAGGAAATAGAAACAAATGAGGAACGTTATTATAAAACACGTAAATGCCGGGGGTTTTTTTTGTTTTTTTTTTTTGGTTTTTATGTTTGTTTTGTTTTTCTGGAATGCCTCTGATCAGGAAACATAAACTCAGATATTGTCCTGTCCACTGCTACAGGCTGTGGTCTCTGCCCCGCTCCCAACCCCAGACACCCGTCTGAACATTTCCCCGGTGTGCTCCCACAGAGGCCGGTCGCGTTGCCGCCGCAAAGCGTTCTCCGAAACCGCCCTCGGAAAGCGTTTTCGTCTTCCTCTTCAGATGGGAGAAGCGAGGGATGGCAGCAGAGACGAGCGGTCTGCTGGGAGCAGAGCTGAGGCTGGAGCGCTGGGTGGTGGGGTGGTCTGAGGTCTGGGTGGAGTCGCGCTGCGTCACCCCCGCGGTCCGGGCGAAGACCCCGGCGGGGTGGCGGCTTTTTTTTTTTAGACGTCAGTGGAGAAGTAGAGCGTGTTGCGCTTGAGTTCGGCGAAGGAGATCGGAGGATGCTGCAGGTAGTAGAGCAACACCTGGACCTGGAGAAGGAGAGGAGGAGTGATGTAAATAAACTAAAATTAACAGAATTTATAGGCTATCTTAGGGCTGGACAATAAATCAATAATATATATGGTGATAGACACATGATCAATATCAACAGATGATACGTCTGGTAGAATTTTCAATAATTTCGCTGAACTCTGATCCAAACCACATGGAATTCTGGGGGATGTAGGCAGAGGAAAGGCTTCAGTCACTCAACCTCTGATGACAAGCCAGGCTAGGATAGTGGCTCCAACTCGGTTACCGAGCAACAACCTGTTGAGTAGTTTCATGTTTCACCACCACCCCTCATAATTGCTTAAAAATTATTTTAAAAAATAGTGAAAGCTGTGGGTAAAACAGGAAAGGTTACAACACCAGTTTGGCAGCATTTCAGGCATTTAAAACAATAGACTGTGACTGAGTCCAACATGATTTTGTTTTGATCTAAACCAGAGGCCTCGTCATCCAGGCCTCCAGGGGGCAGTGTTCTGCTATCGTTAGAGTCCAGCACACCTGATTCAGATGGATAAATTACTTCCTCAGCACTCAGTCACCCTCTAAAAAGTCCTGCTAATAACTTATTTTTTTTTATTCTGGAGTGTTAAAGTAAAAACACATCTAAAAGTTGCAGAATATCCGCCTTTAGCTCTGGACCAGCGTATTCTGTCACGGTTAATAAAATTGTGCCGAATGCATAAAACCTAGATTTGTCGAAATACTTTGAAAACTTTGAATCTTTTTCCACTTCACAGCTATGCACAACTTATCAAATAAAATCCCAGGAAACTAGACTAAAGGTCGTTGTTGGAACGTCCAATATGCGGGAAAGCTCAAAAGCCATCAATTCAAGTGACTGTGAATGATCCCATAAAAATCTATTTTTGAGAAGTTAGCAATTGTTAAAAAAAAAAAAAAAAAAAAAAAAAAAATAATTTACATTTTGGAACCGATTCGAGAAGCATTTTTCTTCCAAGTTTAATACATCGCATAAACATTGGAGTAAAGGTTTTTGAACACAAATTGTCCTCAGGACAAAATAGGACCCAGCAGAGACCTCCTGCATTTCCACGCCGCCCGGTTTATGGTGTTTACTTCAGACTTGTTTATCCAGCTTAGAGAAGACCTCTGCTCACATGAAACCCGTCAGTCAGGAGAGATAAATAGATGGTGAGAAAGCTAAATACAGCTGGGAGAAAGGACCCCGCTGAGACGGGTCAGTGGGCGATGTGGGAGTCGAGTTAATCTAGAAAACATGTGCAGCGGCAGCAGAGGAAGCTGCTCTTTCTCACTGTCCGTCGTAAAGATTACCGAAGGAAAACCACAGGAGAGTCACGGAGTGAGAATTTGCATCTACCGGCACTAAAATCGTGTACCTGTGCCATGACATCATGTGACCAGATGTCGGAGGCGCACGTGATGTGCTGTCCCTTGGCGCTTTCTGACTCAGAGGGCCGGAGCAGGGTGGGTCCGAACACGGTGGCCAGGTTATGGAGGGACATCTTGTTGACGGGCTCCTTCTCAGCCACCCTGCAGGAACAACAGACAGGAAATATTTCGTTACAGGCAGACTCTACAACTCATTTTTTAAATATGAAAGCAGTTATTGAAATGCTAGTTTTAGAAGTTTTCCTGCAAAATTCGCACTGGATTTCCACAACAGAAAGACGCTATAATAGCACAGAAATTTTTTTTTCTTTCTGTAACCCCAAAAAGTCTGGATATGGTTGATTTTTTTAAAAAAATCTTTTCGAAAAAGTTGGATCATTTTATTTAATTTAAAGCCTAATTTCCTGCATTAGATAGTAGTGAGATTTTTTTTAGGGTTAATAAGTGTTATGAACGAAATGCAGCTCTAAAAAACAAATAAGAAAAAAGAAGTATCTCTTTGCATTGTAAACTTTGATGGTGTGAGTGTTCCTGCGTACCTTTTCAGGTGCTCCAGCAGAGTGAGGAAGGTCATGAGGTTGGGGTCGGGCAGAGAGCGCAGAAGGTGCATCATGCAGTTCTCCTTGGCTGCAGGGTCTGAGAGAGCTGAAACAGACAGGAAAACACATGTCCTATTATGTCCTGACGCCCTGTTTTTTTTTTGTTT